AATTTGGTGCCTATTCTGAAACACTTGATAACTTATCCTCCCAATGGTCGGCTTTGTAAGTTAGGTACCTTCGTTGTCATTATCCTCATTCTATGGCTCAAATAGTTGATTCAATGTCTGTTGGTAAAAGTGCAAGTGTCCGGATTCAGATTTGAGTCTGCCTGACTCCAAGCCTGTGTTCCTCCCATTGTGCCAAGTGACCAAGGCCAAGTGTCAAGGCGAGATGTGAGTAAATGCCGTGAGTGATACAACTACAGAGAGGTTCAAAGGAAGAAAAACAAGACCTAAGGAGGGAGAAAACTTCATTTGCCCTCCTGAATAAACCAGTATTTAAAGAAAAGAAAGAAAAAGATGCCAGTGCACATTGCCATTGGCTGATTTACTAGGTGTAAGTAAGAAAAAGAGAGAGAAGAGGAATCACCCTACAACTCAGGGAACAGCCCCATTCCACGCCTTCTTCTCCCCCCACCTCACCCTCTTCCTTCCCAGGAGAAGTGATATGATGTTTCCATTTAGTGAATATTTATAAACTATTAAACACCAAATCTACAGATTCCCTTCTCTGTTAACATCTCCCAAGATCTGACTTCCGAAAGATCCTTGACAAAAGTATGATTCTTTATATTTGTACTGAAACATGTATGTGTAAAATACATGTTCTCATTTTATTTTTTAACAATTTTTTTATCTGAACACTAAATTTCACTGCCATATTGCAACTAGTTTATTATAGAAAGAACCAGCTTCTATTTTAAATAAGGTTCCAGAATGCTGTTCCACTCTGCATAGTATAGAAGATGTATACATTCCCCCCCACCCACCCCAAGACACAGAAATACTCAAGGTTCACACAAGAAGCACTAAGCTTGGGCTCACGAGAGGCAGAAAGGTGAGAGTATGATGAAAAAAATAGAAGAGAAATATGACAAAGAACCTATCTCTGTAATCTCAAAAGAGGAAGAGGAGAACATGGAAGAAAGCATGGAGAGAAGAGGACGAGGGAATGGCATAAAATGGTACTAAGCACAACAGAAAAAATAAAGTAAATGAAGGAATAGGAGGCAGAAAAACAACAGATGACAAATCCTAAAAAAAAAAAAAAAATCAGTCCAAAGGAAGAAATGCCACAATAGCAAAATACAGAGGGTGCCAAAAAAATGTATACATATTTTAAGAAAGGAAAACTGTAATAAAATTGTAATACTCAATATATATCGACAACAAAAGGTGAATACAAGTCAAGTTTCACTTCTGCAGTTACAAAAGATGCCCCAAGTGGTTACCACCAGCGTCCAGACACTTCTGATCATGGCGAACTATTGCTTGAGCAACGTTGACCAAAGTGTCCACTTATGTACATTTTTTGGGCATACCCAGCAGATGGTCGAATGGAGGAAAGGGCTCCTACAAGATAGACAATCTTCCTTCCCCATCACCACCACCTCCCAACCCCTTTCTTGATGCCTGTCCTTCTGAGGGCTCCCCAGGTTTCAGCTGAAGAAGAATGAGGGTCCAAGCCTCCCCGCAGGGCACTTAACACACCATATTTTAATGAGCTATTTCTTTGTCAGACTCCCTGACAAGCAGTGAATTCCTGGGAGCCAAAGGCCACATCTTACTAATATCAGTATCTCCACAGCCCAGGACAGTTCCTGGAAATAATAAATGCTCACTAAGTATTGAAGGAATGTATGAATAAATGAATGAAAGCCAGTCTATCACAAAGTTATTCAAACAGCAGAGGCATTGGACCTGAAGGAAGAAGATGGGGAAACGCAGTCCTACTGAGTCTCAGCGTGAAATATCTAGCCTCGGCAGCCCAATGCAGTAAGAGGCCACAGAAATGTTTCTCCTCGCAGAAATAAATGTCCACCCCGAAAGACTGGCTCTACTTCTGCGCAATCCTGGTTCCAATCCTGTGCTGACCTCACCCTGCTGTTATGAGGCTGGAAGCTGATTGCTTTGCAAAATCAGATGTGCACTCTTTCTCCAGGAACATGAACTTTTTCTGAATCTTTAAGTCAACTGCTCAAATTGTCAAAATACTTGTCATAGGATCAATTTTTTTCTCCTTTGTGCACAGTAAAGGATACTCCCTGGGTCTTGCCTTCCCAATGTTTTGATTTCAACACCCCACACCCCTCCCTCTGCCTGCCAAGAGAGGACATCAGCAACTCCCCATAGCCTGGCCCAGACTTGTTTTCATGCATAGCAATTCCAACTGTGGGTCGAAGAGGGGGCTCCAGTGCCTGCCAGTCATGTTGTTCTCGCTGCTCTCCTCTCAGGCACCCCTAGCACCTGGAGCTCTAAAGTAACAAGCCTGACCCTTTCCTAACCTTTTCCTCCCTGTGGAAACCACAAATAGAGTGTGATCAGTTGGAAAGACTCACTAGCCATTTTTCAGATTTCTCTGGGGGAACCAAGAAATAGGTGATTCTAAAGGTGTCTATCAGTTCCACATCCCTCATAGATGAAAGGCAATTTATAAAACAAGCGCATTTCTAACAACTTTTACCCAAACAAACTATGTATATATTATATATGTGTGTATAATATATAATATATATTCAAATTTTAGTTTGCAATGCTTTGATTATACCAACATTATAATAAACAGGATTTAAGCCAAGTAGCTCATACCTCTGACTTAAAGAATTACTACTGACCTTCATAAAGTAAAAAAAAAAAAAAAGGTGCCTCTTATGTTGGCGTGTAGCAGGAGACTCCTCCAGGTTCCTGGACAACCACATCTAAGCTAGCCTAGAAAGCGCAACTGTGCGCACATTTTCCCATCGCATACTGTACCTTCCCGGGGGAGTTCAGGAATGAGTAGTTCCTAAGACTCTAAGAATGCAGCAGGCCCTGAAATCAGTGCTGGCAAGGAGGTGAGGAAACGATGTTTACGCTAAAGCGTAAAGCACATACGTGGAGGATGCCTGCCAAACAGCCTCCCCACTTTCTGGCTTTGCCCTCTAGAAGCCTAAGAGAAAGACAGCTTCATAAAGTCCCATCTTGCACATCACTGCTTCTGACCCAAGTGGTCATGCATCTTGTACCCATTATGCATGGTCAACATAGCCCCCTGGGAGTCTAGCACACACCACTGACAAACAGAAGCTGTCACATTGTTTAATGGCTTCTTCTTCAAAAGGCGGATTCTTCTGATGGCATGGCCCATATTCCCAGCAGGAGTCATATTCCCAGCAGGAGTCCTCTTCCTAGGGCTGGTTCCAAAAGTCAGCCTAGCCACTAGGCAGCAGAGACTGAGGTCTGGTACTTTAGAGTCAGCGAGTGACCTCCACAGGGGCATCCCAGGTAGCAGATGGATAACAGCTGCTTTGCCCATTAAGATATCCTGTTCTCGGCCTTTGCTTTTTCCCCCCAGCGATCTGACTGCCGAGTTGGTCTGCGTGCAGAGATCGAAGCTACCTCTTTTGCAGTTTCCCCATGACTCAGGCAGCGCATGTAGAGGCTGGGCAATGGCAGCTCTACGGAATTCAATTGGAAGAATAAGCACAAGGAAACAGATTCAGGCCAAAGACCTCCCTAGAGAAACCAGGTGGTGGGAGGAGAAGGCTGAGAAAAGAGGAAGTTCAACTCCAGGAAGGGCTTAGCTGTGCCAAATGGGTTAGTGTGGAAGACTCCAGCTCCAGCCCCATGTGCGCCAGTCCAGCGTCGAGGGGCCGTTTGGAAGCGGTGGAGATGCAGAGCCCCACAGGTAACCATGGATTCTGTGTCATCCCAGAACGCTGTGGTTAGAATAACAAAACAAGAGCAGGGCACACATTCAAGTTGCAGCCCCCAAAAATCAAAGGAAGCAGGTCATGTGGATGCCCCTTTTCCTTCCAGTGTCCTGCATCTGAGTAATTTCAAGAATCCAAAAACTTCACAGTACCCAATCACCCCAATATCTACAAATCTAAATTTTCACAGATCCATAGCAAAAAGCAGAACTGCTTTTCTGATCTGACCGTTTTTCTAATCTCAATATTCAGTATCTTACAACCCTGCCGCTTGGGTCTCTAACTGCTCTTTACCGAGCTCACATCACTTCCACACTACCAGGAGCAGAAGCTGGCTCCGTGCAGCCAAGGGTGGTCATAGGAAGGTTTCAGTGAATCAGAGACATGAGCAACCTTGCCTGTTCTGCTCCATAGCATACATCAGGACAAACGGTCACCCTTCACCAACATGACATGGGAAAATTGAAAGCGATCTTTCCAATTCAGCTCCAAGTGAAACTCCACCTGGAACTCCAAGCTCCGAACAGGTGCCCTAACTAGATTGCCTGCTCTGAATGGACTGGAAGCCCCTCAAACAGACAAGAGGCCCAGCACAGAAGGGTATAAGGAAGTCAACAATGAAGGGGGAACAGTGCTGGTACTTGAATCTGTCCTTTTACTGCAACCCACAAAATATCCCAAATGATTCCCTCCATCCCAATCCAGGTTTTCCAGGCCCAGAACAGAGAAAGGATAACTGCACATGTTACCCACGAGAAATGTAGCCAGGCGCTGAAATGGGCCGTTTGGATCACCTTCCAGTTCTACAGCAAAGGGAGGAAACCTGGGAGGAGGTGTCTGAGAGGACTTAGACGCCCCCATAGAAATGGGCGGACCTTTCCCGCCCTTTCCAACGCCATCCTCAGAGCGCCTCCTATCGGCCTTGGAGACAAACTGCGGCTCCTGGGCGGCAATTTCCTGGGTTTCAGCCCCTCAGCGCCGGATCTAGGAGGCGCTGATTGGTCACACCAGGCCAACACCTTCCAAAGAAGCAGGCTCTCCTCCCACCGCCCACGTGTATCCTGACACACGTGAGCTAGAGCTCTGCTGAGCCTAGAAGCCGGCTCTCCCTGGAATATCCTGAGTGGGAGTCGGAAGACATCAACAAAATTTAAACTCGGGGGCACTGCGCAGCCCAAAGGGCGTTTGGAGAGCTAAGGGCGGTGACCCTAAGAAAATGAAACTATCTGGGTCCAGAGAGGTGACAGATCAACTCACCTGCCTGGTGAAGAGGATGGCGGTGTCCCAGTACTCAGGGTGCTTGTCACTCACTTTATTCAGCTTCTTCTGCCAGGCACAGAAGTTGCGCAGCGTCAAGGCCGCGTTGCCGGTGACCTTGGGCCCTGCGTCGCGGTCTCCGAGAAGCAGCACCTTGACCACGACGATGCTGATGGGGTTGAGGATGCTGGCATGGCGGTAGAGTTGCGCCGCCGTGGCCAGCAGCGTCAGGAGATAATGCTCCAAGTCCGCACCGTGGAACTTGACCATTGACTCGTCCGCCACTACCAGTGTCTCCACGTACCTCGGGATAGACACGAAGCGCTTGGCGCGCCCAGACCTGCGCCGGCTGCGACTCTCCCCTAAACCGGTCCGCCGAGGCTTGTAAGGGTCGAGGGCACGCAGGATGGCGGGGTTCCAGCCTGAGGCCACCCCGCAGCGAGAGGTGGGATCTCCCTGAGGCCCGCCGGGGGTGCCCCGGCGCTGGAGGAGGTGTGCACCCTGGCTGTTGCGCTGCGCCGCCTGAATGCTGGCGTTAGGCAATGGGCTAATGACATACTCGGCGCCTCGATATCCGAAAGCTCCGCGTAGCCCCTCGCACAGGCTCAAAGCGGCGAACGAATCCGGCTCGGCGTTCACGTCCCCAGAGTAAAAGCAACGTCTCAGGTCTGGAGCGCTCCCGGGGAGCCCCTGGAGGGGGACGCCCAGATGCTCAGTGGCGAAGGCGGACGCCAGGAACTGAGCATCCGGCGTCAGGTGTAGGTAAAAGTCCTCCTGAAACGCTGTGATCTGAAAAATGAGCCCCTGATCCCCGGGGTCCTCGGGACCCCGCCGGTAGTAGTGGCGGCCGTTGATGTCCGGGTCCAGTAGGATGGGCACCACTACCTCCCGCTCTGGCTCTGAGCCGCCAGCGGGTCCCCCGGCGAGAGTCAGGGTGAAGATGCCCAGCAGAAGCATGGCGCCGGGCAGCGCACAGCTGCGCTCTTGGAGCGGCAGCCGGCACGATCGCCGTGCAGCCAGCGCACGGGAACCACCAACTCTCCGGGCAGTCCGCAGCTCCCGAAAGGAGAGCAAAGGGAAGGCGACTCCTCCCAGAGCGGTGAGCTTGCGCGGGGTAGCCCGCGCCTCCTACCTGTGCCTTCCCAAGCAAAGCGCGCCCCTGGAGCTTAAGTGCAATCGCTGTCAAGTGCAGGACGAAGAGTTGCAGCCGAGAACTAGAGGGAGGTGCCGGGCCGCTTCTCCGAACCGCAGCTACTCGTAGCGCCAGAAACCGGGCGCTAGGCGAGCCTATTAAAGGCCCCCTCCTCTTTGGACTGCCCAGTCGGCGCCCCTCCCTCTCTCCCCTCCCAGCCTCCCAAAGCTTGCAGCCCCGAGCCTCCAGGGGCTACCGAAGAACTCGGTCCCGCCTCCAGAGCCGAGAGCCACTTGGCGGGGAGGGAGTGGCGTTGAGCTGAGGCAGGAGGCGTGGGCTGGCCAGAGAAACCGACGCTGGAATCTAGGTTCGCGTTTTGCCCTCACGTTATGCCCCAGTGCCCGACACATCCGTTACTTCTGTCCCCGCGTACATCTGTCTGTTGCCTGGGTCTTAGTCTTTGTCTCAGGGCAGTTCTGGTGACGAGTTGGGCATGAAGACCCATCACTGACCCTCTTTCCCAGCCCCTTCTGTTGCAACATTCCTGCTGTTTCTTCATCACAATATCCCCTAAAAGACCCCAAACCAAGAATTATCCCTGTGAATGTCATATTGCCAGAAAAGCAACTTTCCAGGAACATAGAGAGCTCTACTAGAACCCAGGGCCACCTAGGCCCACAGTCTGCCCAGGGGACCATGGTGTGCTAGATGGACTGGTGCAGACGATTAAATTTTCAGGAATTTTGCCAGTCAGCTGTTACACACAGCCGTTATTAAGAGTTAAACTACATAAACTTACAATTATGAATTATGTTTACCAAAAAAACCCTAAATGACTATTAAGCATGCTTCTGAGCCTCCAAATCATCAAACCTCCAGGACAGCTCCCAGCTCCCAGAAGAGAGCAGAGGGAGGTGGAAGTAGGATGGAAATGCTAACTGGTATGCTACTCTCCACCTCTCCACTCAGGGACATCACCGTAGGAGCTTAGAACAGGTCCTGGTGGGAGTATTTATACCACCAAAATAAACAAATGTTACCATTCAGTGCTTGGGGAGGAGAGAGGGAGCCCTTGTTCAACACTGACCAGCACACCAGTGCCTGGAGGGGATGTGGAAAAAGAAGTTATCTTCCTGCCAGGGAGGGGCTGAGGGACTGGGAGACAGTAGAAAAATCAGAAGGTACTTCCTCCATGAGTTTATCTCATTCGATCCTTGGCCAAGTATCATGCAGGGCCCTGGAGTGAGAGGCTGAGCACGGGTGGTAGGGGCAGATCATCAAGCCAAGAGTTCCCTTCTAGTTTGAAGGGGAGTCTAAGGACCCCTGTTTCAAGCTCTGGTCCCTCAAGAACATCCTTCTCTCTTGCTAAAATCAACTTCTTTCCTCTGGCAAGGAAGAAAGGCAAGTAGAGTAAGGAAGTCTTTCCTCATCTGTCCTGATCCCTGGGAAATCTTCCCAGAACCATTTGAGTTGAGCTTAGAAGAGGACAGGACAGGAAAGGGTGTATAGAGTGACTGGAAGCATAAAAAGGAGGTGGTGTGGAAAATTTTTGAAATTTTCTTAGGGAAGTGGCTGCTCAAGTAAACAACTCTATTGCTAAAAGGAAGAGAACCCTGGGACTGGTCCATCAGTGAAGAGCACTTTTTGCCCATTATCTTCTCCCCATAAAGGATCCACTCTTCGAAGAGCCCCCTGGGGCCTTGGAACAGGAATACTGCCCAGATGCCCGTAGTTCTCCTGGGCCCCCTCTTCAGCTGAGATGCATAGGGCTGAAATTCATTATGTGAATGAGTAAGACATGGGTGTTTATGCTCTGTAAATGAAAGGGAGAGTGTGCATATGGAAGGATTGTGTGTGAGACAGAGGGAGTTCAAGTTTACAAAGGCCTTGTGTGTTTGAGTGTTTAAAGAGGGCCTATAATTAAAAGGAAATTCAGACAACCAAGAGCAATCATAAGCCACTTAAATGGGGCAAGCAATTGTTTTTCCTACACCCAGCAGTTTTAATGGTGGATTACAAGTTTCCAAAGACATTTTACTTTCACTATGATCGATGGGGTTTGGCAAGGGCTGTGGCATGTCAATCAAGCTTCCCCCTTTCCCCAGTCATAGCCCAACTGTCTCCCCCCTGAACACAGAAACCGAAGCCACGTGGACTTGCTCAAAGACGCTAGCATACCTTGAGCGCTTGCTCTGTGCTTAGCACTGCTTGTCTCTCCCCTCTTGGGAAGTTGCAGTTCTGTCCAGTCACTTTGCCAGGTGTTCCTAACCAGGAATTGAGGATTTAGGGATCTACTGAAGTAGACTACGTAGAGCACTGGAGTAGAAGCCAGGAGAAAGCATTGATACTCCATTTGCATCACCGATCTGATTCTCTGACTCTTTCTCACCTGTCAAAAGAGGAGGGTTATCCTAGGTCCCTGGTCTTTAGTCACAAGACTGCATTAGAAATCTCTGGTCTAGATAAAACCAAGATCACTTTCATATCAAATATTACATGACGATTTCAGGCCTGTGGAAGACTATAACATAGCATGATGATTAAAAGCCCAGGCTCAGGGGACCCAGATGGGCCTCCTGCCTCCACCGATCTTAGTTGTGCAAACATGGATACGTTACTCTACCCTCTAAGCCTCAGCTTCTTTGTTATTAAAATTAACATAGTAATACTACCCATCTCTGTAGTTATCAGGATTAAATAAGTTAATACTTAAAAAGTGATCAGAAGTGCTTAGTACATAAAAAAAAATTTCTTAAATGTTATGTAACAATACTGTTGTTATTATTATTGTTGTTGTTGTTGTTGTTACCGCCAAGCCCTACTTGGCCTTTCAAGATGACTGCCATCATCACCTTCTGAAGTTTTCTGGTATTCCTAACAGGGGAGGGAGGAAAGGTAATGGGAACACCCTCTCCCAGCTCTGTTCAGGGACTTCCAATGTCACTTCAGCAGCCCTGCTTTCATAATAGGACTCTGTAATTGCCATTCTCTTGTTGCCCCCTGTCCCCCAGCGATCTTTGAGAAATAGAAAGCAACTCCTTCCCCAAAAGAAAGATTGGGGGCCGAGCCCCTGCTGTCAAATCTAAATACCTCAGCTTGGCCCTTTATGCCCTTTGACAGTTAGGCTGACCTCCTCCTGTCCTTCAGGTCTCAGCCCAAGTGCCACTGCTTCAGAGCCTTCCTTGGCCACCAACCGAAACCCCAAATCATGATCATGACGCCGTGTTTTATTTTCTCTTTACCATTTACTTCTAGTTAAACCTATTTTGTTCAGTTGGATCTTTACTTTTTTATTGACTGTCTTTCCCCTCTGCCCCAGCTGGAATGAGAGGAGGACCTTACGTGTCTCATTCACTATTATACCCTTCAGGGCCTGGTCCAGTACTTGGCAAATAGGAGCTCTTCATTAATACCAAATGAACAAATCGACTGGATTTGAATCTCAGCTTCGTCACTCCCAGTCTGTGAAACTTTGGGAAAAAAGTCATTCATCTCTAAAATGGGGGTAAGGCTATCTCCTAGGAGAGTTTGGAGTGCCTAACACACTGTTCCCATAATTATTAACTTCTTGCACTTCTGTGATAGAAACCTTAGCCCAGTACCCTCATCCCATAGTTGAGGAAGCTGAGGTCCAGAGAGATAAAATGACTTGTTCTAAGGCAACCCAGCCAGCTGCTTTGCTCATCTCATAAACTCGTTTCTCTTTACCCTTTACAGGACAACCTGGCTCGAGCTAAATTAATTTGCTTGGCTTCTTCTGCTCAGAAGCTATTATTTCAGTATACAGAGCTTTGTGTAAGCCATTTCTCCCGTAGAGGATACCCTCTCAACCTCATCTCTGCCTGCCTATATAACTCACACCTCCTATAGGAAGCTACTTAATTGATCTCACAGAGCTTTGACTGCTCCTTTTTTTCCCTCTCTTTTCCTTCAGCGTATGTATAATCCATTTCTAGCATAGAAACATTCCATTTGAACTTGCTTGCCCTTTGCTAATTAAATGTTAAACCCTTTTCCTCAGACTGGGCTACAGCCACCCTGAACCACAAACTCATCAAAACCAGGGCTTCTTTGTCTTAATCATCAGTCTCCGTGACAGTCCCTAGAGCAGGTGAAGACTGCCTGGCTGAGCCAGGTGAGTGCAGGAGCTTCTAGGTAGATGATGAGCCCAAAAGAATGATGCACTGAGGCCGGAGGAGGCAGCCACAAGAATTCAGCCTGGAGACTAGCGTTCACATCTCTCAGGTCCTCATGATTCACCAACATCAGGAACAAGGATGGCTTCTGCCTACCTGTATCTTCCCCAAATGGGAGAAAAGAATTAAGGAGAAAAGACAGTGGGGGTAAGAAATCAGGAATCAGCAAGGTTTGAATGAGGAGGGAAGTGGCTGACAAGAAATCTCCCAATTCTTCAGATCAGTTATTATTAAGTCGTCGTTTGCTATGTGAGGGTTTAGATCAGGTTTTACACAGAAAATAAATGTAAGAACTTACCATTTTTTTGCGCTTTATGTCTCCACCGTTCTTTGTCAAAGATCCCTAAAAATCCCAGATGTATTTAATCTGCTCTTCATGGAAATTGTGCCATAGAGATGGGCAAAGCAAATGACATCTAGAAAGGCACAGACTTTGGGAAGCTTCTTGGAAGGCTCAGGGAGTGAGCTGCATCATCCATTGGCTTCCACAAGTGCTGGTCCCCTTGGCCAATCCTCTCCCAGATGTGGAGACAGCTGAAGCAGCTGGAGATTCATCTAAGGCCCCATGAATTATAGCTCTGGGCTTGGGGCCATTGTTCTTTGCTCAGAGGAAATACTTAACTCTATTTTTTCCTTCTCAGCCACCCACTCTGTTTTTTCTCTGGGGCTAAGTATTTAATAGAAGTCCCTCTGGTACTTTTGTCCTGTATTTGTTCTCTTGGAGCTATGAGGCTCCAACAAAGGGCCCTGGACTTGGGGAAATTCATCAAATAATAGTTCCAGACTGCCTCCTCGCACCCTGAATCCCCTGTTTACAGTCTTCAGTAATAGCTACCACCCTCATATCTCAGGCCCTCCAATGCAGAGCCTCACCTCTGTCCGGTGTTGGATTATTTGGGGTGCTAATTAAACGACCTAGTCTCCTGGAGCTTTGAACTCCTTATTCATGAAAGTGGAAGAATATTCTTATAAGCCTGCAGCGTGAAGAGCATGATTTGGGACTCTTGTAATTAGAAAGTATGATACAGTTCTCACTTC